TATATTCATGAGGAAATGATTAAAGATAAAGTAAGTTTAGCCATTAAAGTATAATTTCAATATATAGATTCGGACTCAAACTTATCAAAGAGCTTTATTGGCAAATAGAGAATTTTTTAAGGGTAAAATTGTTCTGGATATAGGATGTGGAACAGGGATTCTGAGTATATTTGCTGCAAGATCAGGAGCTGGTCATGTCTATGGTGTTGATGCAGCTGAAATAGCAGAGTATGCCAAGGATATTGTAAAAAAGAATGGATTTGAAGATAAAATTACCATTATCAAGGGAAAGGTGGAGGAAATAGAACTACCAGTTTAATAAGTAGATATAATTGTTTCAGAATGGATGGGTTACTTTTTGATTTATGAATCAATGCTGGATACTGTTATATTTGCTAGAGATAAATGGCTGAAAAAAGATAAGGGATATATTTATCCAGATATTTATAGGATGTATATGGCTGGGTTCCAAGATAGAACTCAATATAAGAATTCTAAGAGCTAGTTTTGGAACGATATTTATGGAATTAATATGGATTAAATAGGATATTTGGTCTATGTGGAGCCATCTATAGAAACTGTTGAAAAAGAGGCAATAGTGACTGATGTATGCACTTTTTTCGAAATTGATTTGAATACATGCAAAAAAGATGATGCAATATTTGCTAATCAATACACAATAAAAATGCTTAAAGGCGAAAAAATTGATGGTATAGTGACATGGTTTGATGTCGAGTTTAGGAAAGGTCTAGAAAAAATATACAGATTTACAACTGGACCATTTTCAACTTAAACACATTGGAAGTAGACCATATTTTACATTGATGGCGAGTATGATCTTGAAGTCGGAGACGAACTTTATGGATCGATAGCAGTCAGAAAGAATAAAAAGCATCCACGTGAACTCGACATTAAATTTTCCTTCAATACACGAGATAAATTTGGTGAATAATTAAGCGAGAGATATATTCAATACTTCCAAATGACATGAATAAACTTATAAAATTAATTATCACTTCTTTTTATTAATTTCAAATATGTTCAACTGATTGCTTTTTGGGGTTTTGGGGTTTTGGGG